AGCGGACCACCGTCCTCAGTCCCAGCCTCAAACACCAGTTTCACAGTCTGGAAGTCAAGGCGCAAGGAAGCCATCAACCGTATTCAACCGTGCGGAGCTGCATGACAGCCCTGCGGTGTGTGCAGTCTTCACAGCCTCTTGGGACGGTTACCAATGTTTCAATTGCAGAGGCGCTGGCCGATTCCGCAACATGGTTGCTCCCCTCTCCCGGGCCTCATCCTCATCAACCCCCGGCGGAGGTAGAGTAGTTAAGCAGTTCTAGTGTAGGATTGAGAACCTCGGAGGCAGCCGTCACAGTTCGGAACATGGCGCAAAGGCAACGAGGATCAGCATTCCTTAGCTTTTGATGTGATCGTCGCGCACGAGAAAGTATCCACAGCAGGAGGCTGTCCTTGCGATTGTTTGGAACGGCTTTCTATCACTTATCTATCTGAGCTGTCTTGCTCGGATCCTGTCCATTCCTGTCCATTGTTCTTATAGACGTTTAGGACACCCAGTTTTCTGGCGCCCACCACCTCGACATATCGGTTGAATGTTGAGACTTCCTATTCCTGGAGCCAGTATTGAGGAGGCAATGAGTCCGTTCCCAGGCTTGTAGAGATCGGGAGTGCAGCACTTCCCTTCAGAGTCGATAGGGTCGCGTCTACACCAAGTTAGATGCTGACAATGTGCGTGTTCACGAAGCCCAGACGTGCAACTTCGGTGCGATTCTGCAGCAATGATATAAGACGTAACTAATCGAATTTCTCCTCGTTTCTCACCAGCATCTTCAGACGGTGCACGCAGGGGCTGATCAGACCGAGTGCTCCCGGAGACTTGCCCAGAATACCAAAAAATGTGCCTGGATTGCTCTAGCATCGAAGCATGCCTGCATTTCCTCCGTAGTGCTCCTTGCAGAGGTCGTTGGATTGCCGGTAGCCTGGCCAATTTTGCCTGGGCGGGGCGGACTGGGGTGCCTGGTCAACTGCGCCAGTCTTTGAACACCTTTGAACATTCCCAAACCTCGTTGATGCTCCTCGAGAACTTCCGAGCATTGCTGCGAGGTAGCCACCCAAAGGCTCCTCTTCCCGGAGCCTCGATAGAACTTCTCGCCTCCGCTGAGTGGCAGGTTGGAAAGTCTCCGAACTATCAGACACCACAGGGACAGGCCAGCAGATGTTGCAGATTGCACTTCGATCAGGCTTGATGGCTTTGGATTGGGTGCTGCAACCCGCCCTCATACGTACATGTATCGCACCTGCACACATACATGCATGCACACACAGGGATGTGCGTGTATATATGCTCTCGGGTCCCGGGCCGCCACACCCCCACCCCCCACCATGGTATCCCCCCACCCCCCCTGCACGCCCACCCGGCCTGCGCCCCGGCCCGCCCCCGGCCCGCACCTTGCCCGGTTTTGGGCCTTGTGCGCGGATCGGGAGTGTCGCACTATGCCCTGCCGTGTGCGGAAAGCGGCAATCGGCTCAGTAGTTTCCAGCATCTGACATGAATGGCAATGCTGAATTATGTGTATGGCGATGGTGATGGTGGCAGATATTCGAGGAAGGTATTAATGATGAAGATGACGGCGACAAGGATGATGTTGAGCATGGTCTGATTGTCGACTCATTTCCCGGTCTAGAGCAGCACAACATCATGAGCAGTATCACCGGTGCCACAGCAAGAGGGCAGACAAGGAGTAACACAGAAGAACGTCGCGGCAAAAAGAGTACCACCACAGGCCCCACACCACAGTGGGGGCGGGGGGGAAGGGGAAGGATACCATGTGTGGCAGCCCTGCATCATATATATATATATATATATATATATATATATATATGTATATATGTATATAGATATATATATATATATATATATGTATATGCTACCCCCCCCCAGGACCTACCTCGAAGCCTCTTCTTGTACTGTCTAGACGACGTTACGAATCCACTCCGAACTAAACTGCAATATACTGCGTAGTCTTCACTGTCTACGACGACACCACACCGTTCGAGCCAAAACAACACCATGAAGTATTGTCTATTGTCCTCTGTATGCTACGCTATTCAACGGCGCGCTCCTCCTGATGTTCCTTTTTTGAACCGTGATCTATTGGGTATGTTAGAAGCTATTGTAAACGGTATCTTAAATGGTATTCTGGAGGATATTCTATGAGGTGTATTTGGGGTATACAAAAGATATATTTCATAGGCGGTCTTCTGTAAGGATGGTATTCTATAGGGCATTCTATAAGGTATTGTAGAGGGTACTCCATAAGGTATTGTACAAAAGGCATTCTGCGGCCTATATATATGTAGGAAGGTAGTCTATAGTGTATGTTTTATGAAATTTATTAAGGTGCATAGAGAGTGTATTTTATAAGGTAGTTGTAAGGATAGTTTTCCTGGTTCCTGATTTCTTCATAGGAACCCTTTACCCAAAAGCTGCAATTCAACTAGAAATGATCAGATCTTGGGCTCCGGCTGGCTTTCCATATTAAAAACCCGTATCTATAAGGTACTGTTAGGATTTTCTATAATGGATTTTAAAAGGTAGTCTAAATAAATGGTACTGTACAAGTATTCTTTGTGGCATACATAAGGTACACAGGATGTATCAAATAGAGGCGCTCTTCCTCAAAGTATTCAACGGGGTATTACAGATGGTATTATATAAGGTGTATGTAGGGTAAATCGGTGGAAAAGGTAGTTTAAAAGGCATTCTATAGGGTATGTGCAGCATGTGTTTGAGAAGAGTTCTGTTCTCTGTATGTATCCTTTGCTAGAAAATCGATGCGAATCTCTAGATCCTATATTCCGCAATTCCTTGATATGAATCCATTGCTAAATAAACCACATTCAACTGGGGAACTCTCAGACCTTGGGTGTACAAGGTGTATAGGGAATATAGGAACATTCTATAAGGTCTTATCGTATTCTACATGAATATCTTTGCGGTTTGTAAAAAGGGTATTCTGTAAGGTATTCTACAGGCATAAATGTCCGTTGCTCAATAAGCTGCAAGAAGCTTGGGCTCCTTCTGATTTACTTTACGTATATCCTGGTCTATACGGTTTTTGTCGGGTATCCCAAAGGGGGTTCTCAAGGGCATGTATAAGGTAAAAGGAGTATCATCCATAGGGCGTTTATAATACAGTCTGTACAGTATTCCAGATGGTATTCTAACAGGCTCATATAGGGTATATAGGAGATAAACAAGGTATTCTATGTGGCAATCTATAGGGTATCTATACGGTATCCCAAACTGTAACGTACAGAAAGTATTCTATAGGGTGTATATATAGGACAGATTTCCATAAGGTGTTTCATGAGATACAGGGTATTCCATAAGGTATATTATACAAAATATACACTTCATAAATTCTATACGGTACGACCTGAGTATTTTCTATGAAATCCTGGAAGGGATAAGGAGGTATTCTATAGTGGACTTTGAAGGATATTTGTTTACAAGTAGGTTCCTGATGTCCACCATGGGAACCCGCTACTCAACAAGCTATAACTAAGCTGGACATTCGCAAATCTTCGGCTCCGACTGATGTTCCATATCAAAACCTGTCTGTACAGTATTTATTGTATTTATGCCCACAAGGACAGGACTGGAACTGGAAGCACAAGATCACTTGATTCTGATTAGATGCAGCTTGGGTCATCACACATTTGTTGTCATGCGATCAAACTGTCAAGCACAGCAATCCATTCCCTAATCTTCACTGCAGGAGTGGCCATGTGGCACATAAAATGGCAAACCGATATGTTTCATAAATAATTACTTGGTTTCCAGCGGCTTGGCTGCATTATTAAAACCCGCATTAAAAACTAGAATTTAATGCAGCCCGGCCCATGGAACCAAGAACCAAGAACCAAGGTGCCCAGGAGTCTTGAATCCTGAATCTTGGTTCCACGGGCACCGGCCGGGCTGCACTAAAATCTGATTTTAATGCAGCCCGGCCTGTGGAACCAAGAACCAAGATGCCCAGGAGTCTTGAATCTTGGATCTTGGTTCCATGGGCCCGGCTGCATTAAAATTTAATTTTTAATGCAGATTTTAATGCAGCCCGGCCGGTGCCCGCGGAACCAAGATCCAAGATTCAAGACTCCTGGGCATCTTGGTTGTTGGTTCCACGGGCCGGGCTGCATTATATTTTAATTTGTAAGTGCAGTTCCCTTAATGCAGCCCGGCCGCTGCCCGCGGAACCAAGATCCAAGATTCGAGACTCCTGGGCATCTTGGATCTTGGTTCCACGGGCCGGCCTGCATTAAAATTTCATTTTCTTAATGCAGATTTTAGTGCAGCCTGGCCGGTGCCCATGGAACCAAGATCCAAGATTCAAGACTCCTGGGCATCTTGGTTCTTGATTCCACGGGCCGGGCTGTATTAAAATTTAATTTTTTAATGCAGATTTTAATGCAACCTCTGGTATAGTCATGTTCGTATACACTAATCTTCGTATACCTTAAGGTCCATGTTGCATGTGTGTGCGTGTGTGCGCATGTGTGTGCACGCGCGCGCATGGGTAATGAAGTGTGGTATCATATTTGTAGACAGACAGGTTTGGAGGTAGGTCCTGGGGGGGTACCATATATATATATATACACACACCACACACAGACATATCGATATGTAAGGTTGCACAAGTTTTTGGCTGCACTTGCTGCCGTACTTTATCTTGAGACATGAGCTCGGGGTTGGAGGGACTGGCATAGCTGCCATGCAGGACCGAGCTATGCTTCAAACACCTTGTGCAAAAAGATCCCTTCGCAAGCCTGATATGCAGAAAGCAGCCTGAAAGTCACGAGCCTTGTGTATGGTTTAGAAGTTGTGGTCGAGGCTTGAGTCACTAGCATGGGTAGCACGTGACCCGAACTGCAGTTCGCTGCGCTTCGAATGTCATGCCGGTCCACAGACGTAGCACGAGTGGCTCCGGAATGCATCTGGCTCAATGCAGCTCTCTTCCCAGCATGTTTCACGTAGCTCCATTCCTGGTGTTGCTGTTCATGCTGATGACCGGCCGTGGCCAATGCCACGATGGACCAGATGACGAGCTGCTTGCCGCAATCAAACGGCAACCAGACTGCATTTCTTCCTGCAAATGCTCGATCCATCGGTGGTGGCCGTGGCTTGAAGGCAGATGGACAGCATTCCGGAGCCGCCGGTGGACCTCACACAGATCCCCAAGGACCTGCTGGCATTCAGTGCATTTCCGGTCAGCATGTCGCGAGCTTCGGCGCTGTGCTGGAGTTTTTTGTGCTGCAGATGCCGAAACTTACCTAAACTTCCTGTCGCAGGACCTTCGCTGCTCTTACTGCCGTGCAGTGGCCTCCACCTTCACTAGAGCTTTGGAGGTGAAGACCAAAGCCTTGCCGCCATCACGACATGGCCTCAAAGAGGAGGAGCACCTTGAAGTTGAAATTTGCATCTTCCTTGGCAGAGCCAGCAAAATGCCGTTCGGGATCCTGACAACTTCTGTGAATCATTTGGCTGTACGCTGACATTGGGCCAGCAAGTAACAGAGTTACAACAATCGGGCACACACCCTTCCCCCAAATAGCAAAGCAACATGTATGCCTTCATACAGATGTACAGCCCACTGCAAATCAATATGTGCAAGCAGACGGAGAGCGACACACCAGCAGACGGACGTACAGACTATGTGGCTTTATCGTTTCATGTTGGCAGAGAGGTGTCCAGAGAAGCCAAAGCCACGAAACTTTGAAGGTGCTTGTGAGCCAAGCCGTGCTCTTGCCTTTACATGGCTGAGTTCCTAAGCAGGCCGGTTTATCGTACCCGATGCTACGTCCAGATGTCGATGCCAAAATCCCGGAGTAGGAAGGAGGCAGGCAACCAACCCTCAGCCGTGCCTGACTCGACAGTTAAACAAGCGGGCAATCTTTTTTCAAAGGTACATCAAGGTGCTGGTGGAGGCGTGTGAGAAGCCTCTGCACCCAGGTGGGGCTGCCTGCACTCGTCGTTATCGGAAGCTTTCCACTTCAACTGGACTTCAAGGGTGGATGGGGTAGCTACCTCCGTAAAGGCAGGTTCCACCAATTTCGAGGTGAGGAAGGTTGCAGTGGCTTTATCGCGGCTTTCGTCTCCAGGGCCCTCCAAAGGCTTACCCTTTCTGGCTGATTTGAGGGTTGCTATATACTATATATGTCCTCCGTAATCAGTTGTGCTTGTTTGGACGAGCCCAGGGACAGCAGAGTGCGTTAGCAAATGCAACATGCGGAACTAACACGTGTGTGGAAGTCTTTAAGTGACTGCGCTTACCACAGGCACGCAGGCAGGCAAGCAGGCAAGAGAAGATACGAACCAGCACAACAACACAAGCAAGCAGCCAAACGCGGTAATTATCAGTTGACTCACGCTTGCCTTCTGCTGGTTCGAAATTCCGTCGCTGCTGAGGTCCCCCCAATCTCTAAGTGACAGCTCGTAGTGTTGCCAAGTGACCTGAATCTTCTCGGGGCCGAGGGGACCTGGAGTCGCCGCGCTTTGAGGCACGGCAGCTGAAGTGGCTTTGTGGGGCTTCCCGGCTGCATGGCTTGTATCGACTTAAGATCGAGACCAGCGGGAGACTGTCATGGCTGAGCTACTACACTGTCAGGGCTGCTTTGAAGACTTGAGCAAATCGAGATAGAACACCAATCTGGTGTTTCTGCTTTGCTGGCTCAGGACATCTTGCAGACTCTGGGCGAAGAGGAGCGGAGGGCTTATGATTACAAACTGCCAAGATCTGAGCAAAGCGTCTGCTTAGGTGAGTTGCCTCAAGTCAGAGCGACTTCCGTGCCTGGTAGGACGTTTGGGAACTCTTCCAGAAGCACGCAGAAGTTCCTGCGGCACACCTCTGCTCCAGGAAGCTTCGCCTCTGCCCGAAAGAGAGCCCTCGCAGACGCAATGCCATGGGCGACCTCTGATAGACGAGCAGAGTGCAACAGCGCCTACTCGGCCCTCATGACTTTCTCGCAACACATCGTCGGTCTGCCTCCTTGACGTGGACGAGAGCTTGAACTGCTGGTGCCGGCTTCGAGCATGGCAGGCACGAATGCCGGCCAGACTGACGGACCCCGAGGTCCCAGCAACTGTCAAGGAAATGCAGCTGGCAGAGGCTTCGCCGAGAGTTGGGGACTCAAAAAGTGCTTCGTGCGAGTGGAACGGGCACATACTGGCATGGCTCCATGCTTTTTTTTTGCGGTCTTTCTTTGTGCACCACCAGCCCGTGCCGCAAAGTGATATGGGAGTTTCCGAAAATAGGGGACCCCAATACCTAAATAGTAGAATCCTTACTACAATGACCCCAAAATGAGGTACCCCTGATATTCAGAAACTCCCATATCATGGGTCCCGAAACCCTATTCCAATTTTAAGGCCCCTATACTACAGAACCCTACTCCTGATCCCTTATAGACCCCTTTGAAGGAGCCCTATTCTACCTATTGAGGCCCCAGATTACCCGGAAAGTGATATGGGAGTTTCCGAACATGGGGGACCCTAGTATGCTCGACTCGAGTCCGTGTGAGAGAGAGAGAGAGAGAGAGAGAGAGAGAGAGAGAAGGGACCTCAGCACAGCACCCGAAATAGTAGGATCCTTATTATAAGAACACCAAAAAAAGGTACCCCTAATTTTGGGAAACTCCCATATGCTCTTGACTTGGCTGCTTCGGCAGGTGCTCTCGCAGCAGGTGGCCCAGGCTCCGGCATGAGGACGTGCCGCGTAATCTATGGGGGGGGGTTCCTTAAAGGCCTCCATAGTCTCTATAAGGGATCTATAATAGGGTTCCATTATATAGGGGTCCTAACTAATTACGAACACTATTCCGTGGTTCCTGAACATAATTACAATATAATCGGCCCCCAAAACCTTCTTCTAATGATCTAGGCCTCTACATCAACGAAGCTGGGACGTTTCAGCTGAAAGGTGCAGTGTGTTTCTGTACTGAGTGCTGCCATCATTTCAGTACTGACCAGCGCTGAGCTGGGGTTCAAGATTGCGAGTAATTGGAAGGGGAGGCTTCTTAATTGGAAACTGGGTTGTCAAAACTATGCTCCCTTTTTTTGGTCCCTACTATAGTCCGGCACCTATTAGTTAGGGTAGCTAAAAAGGGGCCATAATTTTGACAGCTTTGCTGAACGTTGTGGGTTGTTGACCTGCAGGCACAGAGTTTAATCTCCCTCCCAAAAAGGAAACAAATCCCTCAGGTAAACAAACTTGCGAGGGAAACAGCAAGCGGACTGCACAAAATGCCAGTTCAGTAGTTGGCTGATTTAACTTTCAGGTTATAGCTGGATGCAGTTGTGGTTTTCAATGTCAGACCTCGCGAGCGGGCATCGGCTTCCAAGCAATGCGAGAGGAAAAAATCTCCCTCGCATAGGCCTTCAAGTGCGACTCCATCAGCGGCGGCAATAGACTCTTGTGATGTTATTGATACCCTGGTGAGGACAGTGCCACTGTTTTTGCCGTCCTTGGCAACCGGACCTTTGATCTCCCGACCAGGACGGTCTGTAACCTCCAGCGGGAGGGATGGTTGACCGGTGAGAGCCCGAAACAGCAGGCTCCGGAGAGCCTGATGGTAGTAATGGGGATCACGCAAAGCAGTTCAGCCGAATCTTCAAAGATGCTTCTAGTATTGGCTGTGGTATCCCAGACTGTAGGAGATGGAGGCCGCTGGAGAACGGCGATCGCACAGAAATGTACAGAGCCTTCCTGCCGTTTCTGCATCGTGCCAGTGTCCCCTGATGTGTGCTATGCTCCGGGGCATATTCTGTTCTGCCAGATGCACTACCTTTTCCCACCAGATTTCTGCAACATGGTTGGTGGGGCCACTGCAGAGACATGAACGGATCGGGTGGTGATAGTTCGCGATTTTCGGCAGACGAAAGTGCTGCCTTGCAGCGTGCAGGTGCCCAGACTGGATCTGCTGCTAACGTCCCAACGGCATGAAAACAAGCAGCCCCTTCCGGAAGGGGTTCGCTTTACATGTGTTGAAACAGGGAAATCATGTAGAAGGCGAGTTTCTGGAAACCTGTGCGTGCCTGCAGGTGGTAGCACCTGTCTCAGGCTTTGCTTGCGGAATGCTCCAGAGTGTAGCAGCTAGCTTTGTCTTGACGAAGCTTGCCGACGGCTCCGGGCCCAGAGCCTTTGTAAGAGAAGTGGTCCTTAGGACCCTTACCCACAACCATCACAGGAACAGTAGCTGCATGGGCATGTCCCTTGATAAAGGCCTGGGAACCGGACGTACAAGGTTTTACAAGCCGGCTCTTTCGGGAGGATGCTGGCCTCCGGCACCAAAGGTGTGAAACACGAGCTGGTCAGATTAGAGGTGCGGAAAATCAGGCGTGAAACCTGCAACGGTAGAGATGCATCATGCCATCACAAGGTGCTGGTGTTGCCACATGGTTCTCTGGCGGTCTAGCTCGGGGCATGCTCGCAGTAGGACCGTAGATGTTGTAACAGTCACGCTATAGCAAGCCGGAGTTTCAGCTCTGCTTTGACGGCCACTGGCTCACAGCTGTTTGGGGTGCAGGCTCTTCCCAGACTGGTGGCCTGCCTGACATCATCAGCAAGTTTCATGCTGCCCTGAGCTGGTGCTAGGAATGACCAGGCTTCATGTGGCTGTAGGGTTCGCTTTCTTTAGACTGTCTTGCTTCCAAGGCGTGTTTCAGCTTGCCTGAGAAGCGAGAATGCCAGACATGAAGGGAAAGATGAAGAAGCAGAATTTTACACCTCCTAAGACTCATTTTGTTTGGATCTCGAGGCCACCGAGGGTGGCGGCTTGGACATGGTCGGGGCCTAATTTTTAAAGAGTTCACTGGCTGATGTCACAACGTAGCAAGATTTGAGACAAGCTTGGGCTGCGGTGCTATTGTGCCCTCCAACTCGTCCTGTATGATAGGATCGAAGGCCGAGGTCATCAAAACATTTCTGGGTAAATTGGAATTTTGTGGCCAAAGACCCCCATTCTTATGGTTATGAGTACACGAAGCAGGGCAATATTCTTCAGCCATGCGGGAGGCAAAAAATGGCCATGAGTCCTTCGGATGGGCATACGTTTCAACTTTTCGGAGCTGCAGGACGCTGACGACCAGCTGCTCAGTCCTTCCGCGACGCTGCCGCAGCTCGGAGAGACATAACATACAGACGATAGTTACTATAATCTACTCAAGTTAGTATAATTTTACTCAAGTTACTGGAATAATTTACTATAGTGACTACAATTTACTACAGTTGAATACCCACATCATGAAGGCAACTGCGAAGTACACAGGCGAATTGGAGGGGGTGTTGTGTTTCACCTGCAGGGCTCCTCTAAAGATGGCATAAGATGGCAGCTTTGCTCGTCAGACTTCGCCAGAGCTTTGACTTCGCCTTTCGAGGCACACACTCTTGGATGCGCTCAACAACGTGGATGACGACCTGATGCGTGGGTGCTCAGAGCAGTGCCTGTGAGATTTGTTTTGTCGTGGGTGGGCTTATCGCAACTTCCTCGGCATACATCCTGCTCTAAGGGAACCCCCACCTGGCTTGTGCGCTGAGCCAGGAGCCCAGATAATGCCAACGGTGGCTCTTCAGCCACCAGCTGCGCCAGATTCGGCAGAGATTCAGCTTTCCATACATAGGATCTTTTCGGCTTTCGTGGAGAGTCTCTGTGCCCTACTCATTGAAGGGTTTCGGACATATCATCGGGAGCTTCTTGATGCAGACATTTGAGAGTGACCAGATCCATACATATTAATATACATATGTAAGTATATACACATTTTTCCTTTATGTATATGTAAGCAGTTTTGCGCAGTGGTCTGGATGTGCAGAAGAGCTGTACAGACAAGCGTGCAGCACACTCAGTGTTTCGCCATGTTATTCCGTGTTGTGGGGTGTTGGTTGGCGCTCTCTCTCTCTCTCTCTCTCTCGCTCTGTCTTTCTCACTCCCTCCATCGCTCGCTTCACGCACAGTCTTTGCACGCAGTCACACGTGATTCGTGTCGTCAGCTTCTGAGGTTATGTCAACTGAACTGAATTGCCGTGTTGCCGTAGCCAGGGCTTGCTCGATTGCCTGGCAGTTTAGTAGTTTAGTAAGAGACAGTACAGGATCAAGAGCTTGCTTTGCTTCAGCAGGCCAACCGGTTGCGACGTGGCCGGCACTGGCCCAAGCGAGCACGTGTGGCATATGTCATGCAAGGCCAAAGGCAAGAACTGGCGTAGTGCGGGAAATTGGCGGCGCAGCGTGTTGGGTTCTGAGGCTCAGACTCCTCGGGGCTTGCCGGAGAGTGGAGTTGGAAGACTTCTGCGCTGCATTCTGAGCTTCAAAACATCAAGCGGCAGCACAGGTGCGGAACCTGTGCTGGCAATCGCAAGGCTGTGCTGGCCAAGTGAGGTAGCACTAGGACTAGATCCTTGGTTTGCGGAGTGGCGGAGACTCTGAGGAAAGATTTCGTTCCCGGCACACTCGGAGATGCCCGAGCCTTTGTGGAAGATTTGCCTGGGTTCCAGCATGTGCCGGAGAAGCTTGGGAAACGCCGGGGCAGTCAAGTGGGCTTGTCAGGGGCCTTCAGGTTAGTAGATTTCCGAATGAACTCCACACCTAGTTGTTGTCCATTGGTGTAGAAAGTCTCTGATCGAGTCCCAAACTCAATGCATCGCCGGGTTGGGCTGAGAACGGAAGGGTCAGTCTTGTTCCCTCACGGAAAACAGTGTCAAGATTTATCCTCATTCGGTCCTTATAATAAGGATCCTACCATTTAGGGTACTATATTAGGGTCCCCTATTTTCGGAAACTCCCATTCAGTCGGGTCGGGTTTTCAACAGCCACCCCTTTGCGATCCTTCCGTGGGAGCGCCTCAGGCTGGAGCAGCTCTGAGCTCCTCAGGAGCCCGGAATCGGATTAGACTGTGAACTGCAGTTTAGGGTTTTTAGGGTTTAGAATTGCAATTGGTTGGGAAAAGTGAGAGAGGCAATGCAATACTCAGCGTGTCAGCATGAGTGAGTGTCGGGGGCGTACTGCGCGTTGCCTGTGAGCGCTTCTGGAATCTTCTCCAGGATCAACTTTTGGAGGGTCCCACTCTCATTCAGGCGGGAAGGGATGCCGCATGTCTCATCTTGAAAGCGCGACGCCGAGCCGTTTGCTCAGATGGCCGGTTGTCCAGAATTTCAGTGATGACGACGGCAGTTTTGCAGCTGCACTCGACCGTGACTGAGATGTGTGTAGGGGGAAGCCTTGCAAACCATCATGTGTGTATGTACGGTTTAAATAGTATATGTAGGCCAATAGTGTGTGTAAATAGGCAAATACTACCATGTGTGTATATATATATATATATAGAACTATATGGGTAGTTGTCAGAATCATGGCTCCTTTTTGGGTACCCTAAGTATGAGGTGCCGTATTATAATAAAGACCCCAAAAGGGACCCTAATTTTGACAACCTCCCATATATATATATATATTTATGTATATATATATATATATGTATATATATATGTATATATATATATATATATATGACTGTATGTATATATATATACACATGTGTATGTGTTATATATATATATATAAGATGCGCAGACATACAGTAAGGCATGCATACAGCCACCGTGCCTTGGGGAGGCTTGACTCGCTCTCCGGTGGTGGGGCCAAGCACGAACGCCAGTTCTGCAGGGTCACCTGCGCCGCGAGCTCAAAGAGAGCTTCCCAGGGCCCTACATAGGGAGCCGGGACATGAACCAGGTCTGTAAAGACTGGCAGGCAAATCTGGTTCGCTTTGTACAGTCTTTGTACATGCATGTACAAAGCGTAGATACGCACGTGCCTGCGTGTGTGTGTGTGTGTGTGTTTGTGTGTGTGTGTGTGTCGGTGTGTGCCTATGCATATTAGATTACTTATATGTGTATAGGTATGTCTACCTATAAAATATACACATATGTACACACACGCGAATACATGGATCCAAGGATGCATGGATGCCCACGTGTATGTATGTATGTATGTATGTATGTATGTGTGTATGTGTGTATGTGTGTGTATGTGTGTATGTATCTATGTATGTACGTTCGTATTTGTGTATGTGTGTATATGTATCTGTCTATGTATATATATATATATGTACCGGTGTAGGTCCATGTGCATTTGCATGTTGGTGTTTCTTCGGTCAACACATGCTGCTGCAGTCAACCTTCCGATGTGCTTATAGACTAATGAAGCTCTTGCAGAGGTTTTCCACGACGTAGCATTGGTTTACGTAAGGGTCACACATGGGATGGATGGTAGGCGCACGAGTTGTGAATGGCAATAGGAGGAGTACTACCCACAAGGAGAAGTAGGTGGTTCACAGTCGCAACAACCAAATGATGAATACTGGCCAACAGCAACACAGCCGTATTAGTTTTCAAGCTGACGGCAATTCCAGTCAAAGTAGTAAGTATGGCGGAGTTAAAAACATGTGTTTTCCTGCCTAGAGATATATGTACGCGTACATACATACATACATACGTACATACATACATTCACACTCACACACACATGTATGTATATGTATTCACACACACACAGACATGCACCACACGCCACGCACCCCACACATCCGCCCATACACGTGCGCATGCAAATCACACGGACATATGCAAGAACATGCGAAGCTATACATTTCACAATGGCGTTCATGCTGGCATATTCAGTCTGCATTTTGCAAAATGCCTTTGGCATCTTTGCGAGAAGTATGGCATAGAGTCGCCGAGTGCTCACGACAAGTGGAACCTAGATCAGCTGTTGTGGCGGCTAGTGCTTTCCGAGCTTCAATTTCGAGCAGTATACTACCCGGTTACTACCCCAAGGATGTTGTTGATATCTGTCTGTGTTTTCGACGACTCATGCAGGTTGGGCCCAGCCGCCTGGAACGGGACCAGCAAGACCGGATGGACGGCCGGGGCCCATTGTTTCTCCAGCGGTCACAGATCGAGCCATGATGAACCGTGGCACTCACACGATGCTCTTCACCTGCTGGCTAGCGCCGTAGATTTAGCAAAGATTCATCCAGCTGGCCAGCTTGGCAGCAGAGATGGAGCAGGAAGGTAGTTCCACGGTTGTTCCGAGCTTCTCCAACGCCGACCTAGCTCAGGGAATGAATCCGGATGCTTTGACTCCCATGGCTGTGGAGACGGATGCGCTCGGATCGCCTATTGCCGGATCCCCAACTTGAGTATCAGACAGTACACCAACAAGCACTCCCTCACCCTGCTTGGACTGACTGTCAGTTTCCGATGCGGCTCCCCCGCTCTGGGACATGTGCATGGGCAGCTGGTCATTCGCAAGGCAGTCGTTTCGACATAGCACCTGAAGATACCATGCCCGAGGCTATGGAAGGCTTGGACCCAGCAGAGGCTCTTGCGATGGAGGCCCACCAACTTGGTGCCGAGACTACCAGAAGCTGAGAGAGAAACAGCAAAGTTGAGGTGAACTCGGGTGCTACCCTTCATCTTGGGCCTGTGCCGCTGTAACAGTGAGAGATTGCAAGGCCCTTAATGCCCTAATGATCAGAATATTGTTTTGGGGTACATTATACCAATCAGGAGCTATGATGGAAATAAGGTAACAAGAAACCCTCAAAATAGCATTATCGTAGGACCCTTCCCAAGAGACCTCTACTGTGGCTCGGGCCTGGGCTCTCCGGGCTCCTCGTTTCCTTCCGTGAAGCGCAGGGCATGCAGGGCTTCCAGGAAGAGGAGGACATGGCTGAGTTCTACGTCCAACAGCAGCTCTGGTGTTTGGCCCTTGGTCTCATGAGTCTCATGCATCAAAGCAGCATCGCACTGCCGTGGTACTGGCCAGCAACTTGCCGAAGCACAGTCGTGTTGTGTCAGATGAACCGCCATCTTGGTAGGTATGTCGCACGTCAGCCTGTCATAGCCCCGCAGCACTCAAGGCTATCAGCCGCGCATGGCACATCCCCACGAACAGCTTCAAACCTGCAGCCTCCGATTGCGTCTGCATATTCAGCAGACGCAGTACCGGCCCCGAAATGAGGGATATCCTAGACCAGGGTCTCTGGTTCAGACGTTGATGTTAAGGTCGTGTTGACTGATAGACTTTTTACTGGCGGGTGGGAGTGGGTGGCCCTGGGCCCAAGCACTCCGAGGTGAATGTCGTTGTGCAACCTTGTGACCATTCCTGACAGGCTGCCCATACCCTCAACACCTTCTCACGTTGAGAAATGCAAGGCAAGAGCCTCATCTAGCTGGTCCGAGTGTGATAAACGCACCTTGGCCGTACCTCATGGATCGCCGGCGTGGCAGACGCTCGCAGGAGGACGAAGGCGGGTATAGAGCAGACATGAGTTGAGGAGCTCCGCCGCATGTGCTGACCCAGTGACATTCTTCCCAACTCCAAGCGTGGATGCTTCGACAGCTGCGCAGCGCCACTCAGAGAAGCTTGCAGCTAGAGTCGAGAGTTCTTTCAGTGTTCTTTCATTTCCATCTCGACTTCGAGGCGGTGGCTTCATGGGCTGTGGCCAGGCACCCAGACCCAGATTGTACCTTGCAGATGCCCGCAGAAGAGCTTCAAAGAACCATCGCTGAAATCGGATCTCATGGGCTCCGGCTTGCGGCATGCGGCCTCTCTCCAGACGAGGTTGGAAAATCTTCCTGGCCTTGGCCGGACTGCACCTGGGAGAAAGACATGAGGGGCTTTAAGGGACAAGGCGTGAGGGGCCCAAGGCCCAAGCTGCTGGGATTTTGGCTGCGCTTCCAGAAGCTGACCCCGTCTTGCTCACCAGTGGCATGGCCAAGCTCAGGTATCTTCTCCTGGCTTTCGTATCCAACCAGACCGGTCTGGTATCGTCCTTTCCGATGTTCGATGCCCAGGAAGCCCTCGCTAGCCTCGATGCAATCGGGCTTGTGGGTTCCGGTTTTACTGTCGCAGTCACGGTATACCACTATACCGAAGGATTGCATCCCAAGTGCATGCTGCTCAACCACGCGCCCGAAGCCGTAGATGCATGTCTCAGTCTGTTGGATTGTAGCCATCTCAAGCACGGAGAGTCATTGGCTGCGAGACGCATGATTGAGGCCAGCCTTGACAGAAAACAAAGAAGCCCGGCACACAGTCACCCAGTAGACACGCGGAGCGAGACGGAGGGATCGGAGCCTTCACCAAAGTCCGTGCAAACGCTTGCAAGCCTTGCCAGCCTTCAGCCGGTCTTCTTGCCTGTCCAGGGTGGACTCTTCAGAGGTTTTGCAAGTGGCTTGCACTCACACAGGCATGGAGCATCTGCCTCTCTAAGAGTCGGTGGCTGTCAGGTGCTTGACCGAATCGTCGCCCTTGAGGCCGCTGTGGCCAGGCACCGCAGAAGTGAGATCCTTCGCTGAAGCTTGAGCAGTATATTATATTATATAGTATATATATATATGTATATATATATATATATTATATAGTATATATATATATACATACTATAATATATATATATATATATATATATATATATATATATATATATTATAGTATGTGTATATATATATATATATATATGTATTATATAAGTGCTACGGCAGTGTTACGAGATCTTTGGCTGTTGGGTGAGCAGCCTGGCCCGTGGATCGGCAGGCTGGAGCAGCGAGTTCCCGCCGCAGGCTTCAGCATTGCTTTGCCAGCCTGAACTTTGGCCTTCTGTGACCTTGCATCATGGTAACTCTAATCTCCCAGAAGTCAGAAGTGTCCAGCGACTGTTTCCTTGTAGCTGCAACCTTACCCGGTCACAATCGTCGGCCCGCTTCTGGCAGGCCAATCAGGTCCTTCTCCTTCACTTGCGCCTCCACAGGTACCGGCCCCAGTGGGGGGGTCAGGGACAACATCTAGGCCCTAGGCCGTGTCCCGCGAATTTCCTCCCCAACACAGCAGGACCCTTGCCCCGGGCTTGCTTCTGCAAAAGCCACACTGTAATTCGGAGTCCCGGCACGAAGTGCTGCAACTATTGCTGCGCCCCAAATCTGTCGAACTCATCCAGGCTCCGGCATTTTTTTGTTTTTTCTTCTGGAGGCTGTCGGAAGCTCGCTGTTGCTACAGGCACCCACCACTCCGCCAAGCTCGCAGCGCTTGCCCGAACCTGTGTGCCTGGGACCGTTCCGTCCCAGGGTTTCGACCACTTGGTCTGAGCACGAGGTGGTTTGCAGGCTCGGTACAGCCTTCACTGATACATAGCCTCCGTCTTCCTCCGTTTCCTGCAGTTCCACTTACTGTTGCAACCAGAGGCTCAGAAGGATTACGGGACCGTCTTGGTGATACTAAGGAAGGGCCTTTTCCGTTGACATGTGACGAGATACTGAACAAGAAGTATCAGCACTTGAGTCCCTTCATGGCCAACGACGACCTGGGGCATTCTGTCAAACTTGTCCTTGTCATGATTCGCTTTTTCAAGTCGAGTTCAGGCCTTGCAGCCACTAGGCACCAGCAGAGTTTCCGATGTTCAAACGAGAAATAAACACACTAGGGCCCGACCCATGCAGAGTCAAAGCTGTCCCAAAATATTTCAAAGATGCCTTCCTGCAATCTGAGGCCTGTACTACCGCCAGTCCCTGCCCCCTCGCCGCCCTCAGCGGTGCAAGCTTTGGCTGGGAACTCATTGGCGACAATGTGCTCATTCCTTCTAGGTAGCATGTTGCGGATCTGACAGGCGAGTCGGCAAGGACACGTCGACGACATGGAAGCATCACCTTGCACACCTCGCAGCCTCCATTCAATCCTAGAATCCTATAGGTCCTAGAGCGCCTAGACCTCGTTTTGAAAGCATACCTCGGATGAGAATGTGTGGGCTGAGATCGGGAGACGAAGGGGGCGCGGCTTCAGCTGTTGATTTCAACCAATTCAACTGAACCCAGAAGACCCACAGCATTCTGCCAGAATTCAGGGAGAGGACTACCCAGAGACTGCCATAAACTATCCGCAGTTCAACCGTCTTCCATGCCACAAAGTCTCTCAGGTTCCCCAGACCCGCGTGGGGGCGGCGAAGCTGCACCTTCTGAGCCATCGCAGCTGCTCTCAGGACGGGGCTTTGCAATTGCCAAGAGGTGCCACTGGGTCAGCACAAAGCTGGGGAGTACAAAAAGGGGGCTAAATGCGATTACCGATACTATTTTTTGGGGGGGGGTTCCTATTATGATTATAGTATATTGGGCCCCAACACCCTATTCCAATCATCAAGGCCCCTATATTGCAGTCCACAGGACCAGACGCAACAGTGCAACCTCGGCTTCATCAAGGCCAGTGTCGAGCTAAATGCCGGTTGAGAGCTGGGAGTTTCCGAAATTCGGGGCACTTTATTTTGGGGTCCTTATATTAAGGATCCTACTGGTCCTACTGTTTAGTGTGATAGACTAGGGTCCTCTATTTTCGGAAGCTCCCAGCTTGATTTGGCCATTCGACTTTACGTGCCGCGTAATTCAGCAGCGCTGAGCAGATTCAGGCGGCAGTTGCGACGTTCAAACTTGTCTGCGAATGAAACCTGAGGAGATGGAGGCCATGAAGAAAGAGGCTGACACGGCTCCTCAGATTCAGGAGAGACACCTTTACACCAGGCCCCGCATATCCTCTGACAGTACATTCCATCGTCACATCGGCCGGGTGCTAGCACTACGGGCTACGAAGATCGAAGCGTCCACTTGTCGCAGTCTCCCGGACGAGCTGATGAACGACCCACGGTGGCAGCAGCATGTGAAGTCGCGGTCCTGGTGTACAGTGACCAACATTCGCCGCGAACTTGTATTGACACCTCCATGGGCCGGAATGGAGCGAGTTGTCTCCCTCTGTCGTAGAGATCATCTAGACTGGAGCCATGAAGTTTTTGGTAGGTGGAAGCCAGAACCAGGGTTGTTTTCGAGTACGGATTTGTTTGTGACTTTGTAAGTATGGCGTGCTGGTTTGATTTTAGTTCAGAGTTTTCGTCGCTTTTTCATTATCAAAGGTTTGTGTCTGATTTTTTCATGGTTGATCTTTCCAGGGTTTGGCTGGATTTCGGTTCATGTCAGGGCGGAAACCTGAAAGTTACTGAACCTCTGTTTTGTCTTCCACTGTTGCCTTTGAGATTGCCTGAGGCCATGAACAAGCATGGATAAGCCATGCACATCCATACTGTAGATTTTGCAGATGTTTTCGTGTGTTGAAACCTGTTTTTTTGTGTGTGTGGCGTGGGCTGCCTTTAACGATCTCAAATCTGAAATCCGCTGAATTCCAGGGTTGGTGCATGGTTTTGTGCAGCTCTTTATTCTGAAACCCCCTGCACCCAGAAAGGCCCATCACCTCGGCTGTAACATTTCTAAATGTGATGGATTAGAGTGACTATAAGGATTATAGCAGGGCCCTATTATATTCCGATTATACCACTATTACAGGGTGGGGGCAGCTTCTAAGTGATGGATGTTTTTGGTTTGGGTTGGTTCTGGCTCCATCTCAGGCCTGGAAACCATTCAATTCCACGTTTCCTTCCATGGCGGTGGGCGGGTATGGCCTTTGTCAGCCTCCGGCTGCAAGCGTAGAAAAATGCGTTGTTGTCATACATGGGAGTTTCCGAAAATTAGGGGTACCTTATTTTGGGGTCCTTATAATAAGGATCCTACTATTTGGGGTACTATAGTGGGGTCCCCTATTTTCGGACATGAGTTGGAGCTCTCAAATCCGCAAGCGTACAAAGACCATTCACGCAAAGAGTTGAATCAGTTGAATGTATCACACATTGTGTCATGAAAGCCACTCCCAGCAGATGCCTCGGTTAGTGCCTCTGGGGATGTCACAAATCTAAGAATACCACATCGAAAAGTTCACAGAAGCTCATATTTCCGTGATTGTGGGTTTCGATGACTCTGTGGAAGCTGGCACTGAGGCCGAAGGTGCGTGGTCGAGGATATTGGTTTTGGAAGGCCCTCGGCCTTTGATCGGAGGGCTGGCTGCTGAACATCGCAAACAAGCCTGCTTTACCATCATGCCACGAGGCCGCTATATCGCGACTGTTGCTGGCCAAAGGCGCACCTTGTTTTGCATTGGCTGGAAACCTGTCAGCTCAGGGCAACTTGTCTCTCGAGAGGATGAGGCACAGTCTGAGGATGTAGGCTGAGGTGTTGGGATCGCAAGACCTGTGAGCTGTTGTCTTCCTGATCTGAGGTTCTTCAGCTGGGTGACGATCTGCTGTATGCAGCCTTGGTTGTACTAAAGCCAGTTTAAGGGCCGGTTCATGAAATCCCGCAGTGACCCAGCCTTCCTGCATGTTCCAAAAGCGCGGTGCAGAAGTCATGTTCTTGATGTTTTTGGTCGCTTAATTATAGGGTTTAGGGTTAATTTGCAAGACGCGTTCAACCCCTGCTCAACTGTAGGGGGCTCTCAGTGTTGCCTACTTCTCGGGCGCGAAGTAAGGTAGATGCGGATTCCATGCCCATGATGAAGCACCTCATCAGACTGAGTGCCATGCACAAGCAGGCGGGACGCTCAAAGCTACATTTAACAGTACCAACATCTACCCGGCTTATATGATACTTGCGCAATGTGCCTGTATGCTGGGTGACCAATGGTCTGCCAGCATCACAGAAGTTTGCGGCTTTCTCTGACCGGGTTCAAGATGCCAAAGATACGCAGGACATCATCATCGCCTCGCAGCCGCACTGTGAGCATGCCCCTTGCCAACTTGAGCTTAAGTGTTGGCTTGCCTTGCGGCTGAGGAGTTTTGGTGGTTGTGGGTTCATTGATTCGTCTACAGTGCTTGTTTCGCTGGTCTTTTGGTGATCTTTCGCTGGACTGAAGTGTGGGATATTTGAAAAATAGGCAGAAATCCAGGAACATGTATCTTGACGGAAAAGCCATGACTGCGCAGGTTTGGACAAAAGGTGACATTTTTCAACGGTTTGGCACAACCTGGAACGATCTCCACTATGGGCTCACGCAGCAGCCGAAAGCCCAGGCCAGGCAAGTGCCTCACTAGGGTTTAGGGTCTAGGGTGGCACTTCAGAGAGACCTCGCTCAAAAGAAGGGTTTTAGGGCATAGGGTTTAGGGTTCATGCTCTAGCCTTGAAGTCCCATATGGGAGGTTCCGAGAATTAGGGGTCCCCTAGTTTCGGAATCTCCCATATCGGCGCCGCCAAGATGACACGATCTCAGAGCTGTAGTTGCCCTCTGTGCTTCCCACAGGCATTTTACATGCGGCTGAACGAGCGTACGCTCAAAGTCCTGCAGATCTGGGAGATGCTCATGGAGGCCACGGAAAGACCCTATCTGAGTGTAGCAATGATGGTAAGGTTGCCAGTAGCCTTTCATGCCCACTTATGAGCTATATGGGTAGCTGTGCGTATTGTTTGTGCTGCAAATCAAGGTACTACAAACTCTATTCATAAATGCCCATGAACCTCAACACCTCCATCGTGCATAATCTTCTCCAAGCGAGGGGCAAAACAAATGTTTCAGCCGAAGTGTTGTTCGGCAAACAGCAGTTTGCTAAAGAAATTTGCTAAAGAGAGATTCCGGCCTCCAGGACTTTCATCTCGTCTCCGATGAGCCTTCCCGGAGCCTGGACGTGATGAATTGTGCCATAGCCTAGATGTGAGAATTGTGGGATTTCGTAACATGGCTGGTTGCGAAACGCCGAAAGGGCCGCAAGCTTCTACATGTCCATGTGCTAAGCTCTGAGGAACAAAGACTTGGATGGCCCCTGGTTCAAAAGGAAGGAGACTGAGAGAGAAGTGCTCACGAGAAAGGTTTGTAGAGTCTCGCATATGCATCAGGTGGAGGCCGCGGAAGCCTAGCAGTAAGTGTCACGTCGGGTTGCGCTTGTCGAAGGAGAACCGGCATGATCAGAGCTTGCTGTCCATGATCATCAAGGCTGTTTTGCAAAAATCGGGATTTGGCAAGCCTCACGTGGCGGAGCGAGTCGGGCTTTCATCCTCAATTGGAACTGCAGCGGGCGAAAGACGGTGCCTTTTAAGTAGTTTGTGGCCACAGGATTGTTGTTGATGCAGTGTGCAGCGATGCAGCATCCAGAGCCGACAGTTTCGCACCATCGAGAGGCAAGCGTTCCAAAGTCAGGCTCATGCAAGGACGGGTGCATGACAGCAGCCATGCAAGCAAATCGGATTTCTGACATGTACATGGGCTTACATGGGTTCATCTTATGATGCAGATTACAAGTCCGACGGACCGAAAGGACAAATGCAGTCAGCTCAAGACTTCATCAAGCCGTTCAAGCCTCATTTCTGCAGGAACCGGACTTTCCCTGCGATCGCTTGGGAGATCGGGATGAGACAGCGGGTTGGTCAGCCGGATGCTCAGATGTCGCAGAACGACAAAATGTGGTGCACGGTGAGCTGGGGTATGCAAACCTCGTGGAAACTGCACAACCACGAAGTGGAAGCATTGGACTCGCCGTGGGTTACTAGCATGCGCCAAGACTGTTGCGGTGGCCCCCCATGGTATGAAACACTAAATTTGCTTACAGTATATGTCTGGTATATCCACTTCTGCTGCAGGAGCTGCTCACTTGTTTCGGAATTTGCTTCTGGATGCTCTTGCTTCCCAGCTCTGGCACTATCTGATGAGTTGACTGTATGAAACACCGTGTTGTGGTGGGCTGTGCCGTTTGGAGGGTTGAACTTGCAGCACGGCTGCGCTCTGGTGAACAAGCCCTGTCATTGAGCTTCAGCTTGCATGTCTGGAAATGAGTCGACACTGAGGAAGTGGGCATATCAGTATCCTTTTGAGAATTGTCACAGCTGTGGATTGATGTCACCTGGACCCTGCATCAGGCGTTGTTCCGTTTCACATGCAATGTCCTGTACAATGCATCAACAAGCACAGGTTGAATTGAAACCTCGGCCAAGAAGTACCAGGCTTTAGAAACGGCTTGTCAATACCCGGGGCCAAGGTAGGGTACACCCATCGCCTGTTTGTGCGATCACGTCGTGTTCCATGCTCGGCCTGTGGCTGTAGAGCGGATCGGACGAAAAAGGGAGCAATCATGAGACGCATTATTTGTTTGTGTCGGTCTCTTCGTTTGTTGTTCTTTTCGTTCTCTCTCTCTCTCTCTCTGTCTCTCTTTCTCCGTGTGCTTGCCTGTGCATGAGCCAGCATCAAGCCAGGTCCATCCAGAGCTGGGCGTGCCGGGCCTGACGGTAAAATACGTTTGAGCTCCGGCTTGAGCCGCTGTGTACAGGCCCTCAGAAACTTCTTCAGCATAGCTCCCAGGCGTGTTCAAGCCCAGAAGTGAGCCTATCGTGGTGCCGAGACAGTGTGGTCTCCAAAGACGCGCACCGACTCGCCGGGGCGTGGACGTGTTTGTCCGAGACCTCTCGCAGAGGCTGCTGAGAAAAAACTCATGAATCAGCTAGCTTGAAACCTGTCCTGGGCAACATAGCTGCCTCATTGCGAAGCTGTGCACACACCACACGACCCTGCCCGCGTGCCCCTTGTGTGAGAGAGAGAGTTTGTTTGCGTGTTCCAGCTTCTTCGGTTTGATACCCAACAAACCAAGCAGTGCTTCACACTGCAGCTGAGGCATGCAGCAGGTGAAGGATCACCTGGAGGCGTGACCCCGACCAAAATCGAACGGGATTAAATAGTTTACTTGTCTTACCCTTCTCCCGGCGAATTTGTGCATGAGAGAGGGCCAGAAGCTCAAGGCATTGCCAGGGCCAGACTGATTGATGCTGAGTTCAAAGAATTCTCTGCCAGGCTGAATGGCAGAAGGAACGAAAAGCCATGATTGACCAGATAGCTAGATTCCGCGCCGAGCCCTGAGAGTGCGGTTGGTCTTGGGAAGGCCGACGACTCACGGTTGCACCGTTCCCCCGAGCATGCGACAGTTACAATGGGAGCTATTGAAAATTGAAAGAGCTTGCAAACAGGACTTGTTCTCAGGCATGTAGCTGCAGACTCACCACACGTCCCGGGATTGTATCGCAGACCCGGTTCTTGTTGCGCTTCTCTACGTGTGCTGCCTCCCCTTCAAACAGGTTGTCGAGTTGCGCTGTTGCAGTTGCAGTGACAAACACTAGGCAAGGCTGAATCTGTGTTATTACGACCCATGCCGCCAGATTCACTGTACACTCCCCCATCTGATCACATCTGATCAGACTTTGCGACAGCAGCACCTCGTACTTCCAGCGGAGAGGGGTCTGCAGACCGTGTTTCTGGGCTTTCTTGGGGACGAATCGTTCAACCTGCATTCAACCTTCATCCTGATAGTTACACCAGGCTCGGGGAAGGAAGGCCCAGCGCGTCGTTTGATGTCGTTTGTGCATGCGACATGTTGTTGGACGTGGAGCACCCTTGTCTATGACATGAGCCAAAGGATTTTCTCCCTCGACCATGCCCCCAAAATGCACCCAGAGTCTGCAGATCTCCCTGGCAGCAGAGGCTGTGCTTACTCGATATTCGATTCCATTGGAGGAGGCGGCTGTCCAGGGACTTGACTTTATAGCTTCGTTTGTCACTTGAAGGTGAGTTCGGTGATTGCGTATCAGCCTGTGGAGCAGATTGCCATGCCCGCGTCAGTGCCTGCGTTCATGCTCTCCTCTGCAGCCTGGCTCCTGGATGGATGCTCCATGATGCCATGCAGATCCCATGCCTTAGAGATCCTACTGCTGAGTGCCCCAGCCTCAAAGATACAACATGATACATCTGACAATAGTTGTTCCCGTGGGACGTTTAAGTTTCCCGTCCCATGTCCACGACCCTGCCGATTGCTCTCCTGGCGATCTTGCACTGTGCGGCGGCAGAGGATCCTGGGTCCCGGGGTCTTTAGACGTCGGGGATGGTCTGACGGAACGCAGCTTGCAATTTTCCAGGTGTCGTGACGTTCAACGCACGCCCGTGTTTGAAACCGGTGTTTTACGGAAACATACGAACCTGGAGGATGTGGAGGCAAACACTTTCAACAGCTACCTCCAGGAGCAGGCAAGTCGTCTTCAAACCGAAGGGCGCACCCTGTTTCGAGAGTAGCCTACGACTCACTACCGTGCTGTCGCTGCAAACTGCTGCTACTCCTGTGTTCAGTGGGGCTGTCATGTTCACCGGAATGATGCTAGCTCTTGGGCCTTTCGGTCGTTGAGGTGTGCCAGGCTTGCAAGGACTTGGACCCGGAGGACAAGGCCATCCTGGAAGGTGTAGCTGCAGTGGAGCACGCACATCTCCACGATGTCGCGGGCTCAGCTCATTGCTGAAAACTTGCTGCAAGTATGCCAGGGCCCTTAGCGCCCATGGCAGTAGCCGTTATGAACGTAGCATTGCAATCGCTCGGGGCCTGGCGGCATCAGATGTTGAGGTCGTTCTGTACCATGCCCTCCCTTTCGATGTCTACACTCTGGCCTGGATATGGCATGGCATTTCAAACGAGGATATGCTGAGTCTCGGCGCGATGTCGTCGTAGCACCAACAGCAGCAACGGTAGCGGTGCAGCAGCCTGCAGCAAATCCAGTGGTCACCAACATGCTAACAAATGAGAAGCATAGGGCAAACCCGCGGCGGTCAGTCACTACTGCGACGACGACGACGACGACTACTACTACTACTGCTGCTACTCCTGCTGCTGCTGCTGCTACCACGACTTCTACTCCTGCTGCTGCTGCTGCTTACCACCACCACCACCACCACCACTACTACTCCTACTCCTACTCCTACTGCTGCTGCTACTGCTACTGCTACTGCTCCTGCTCCTGCTCCTGCTGCTGCTGCTGCTACTGCTACTGCTACTGCTACTGCTGCTACTGCTACTGCTACTGCTACTGCTGCTTCGGCTGCTACTACTAACTACTACGACTACTATTACTACTACTTCTTCTTCTTCTACGAACAATGACATCAAGAAGCACTAGTACCGCTACGACGACGACTACGTCAACGACGTGAGTGTGTGTTCGGCGCTCGCTTGTTTTGTTTATGTTGCCCTCTGCACGAATCACAGCACTGCTACGCTGCTTTGTGCTGTCAGTCTGGAATGTGCAAAAAGCGGTGAAGTGCTACTTGTAGTGCTGAAAGTAGGCCGAAACTTTTTTCGTAGGAGCCCGTTGCACGCATCTACACATAAGCAAGATTTGCTTGCCGAGAATCAAGGAGCCGTTCTTAACACTTCCTGCCCGCTGTGTGTTCTACATCCACTGGTGCCTACGACTGTTTCAAGCAAGTACAGTAGCAGCCATAATCACCTCCATGTTAACACTCAACTCAACCTGATAGTCCAACTGTTGATGTTTCTAAGCGAAGTTTCAGGACTTCAGAATAATCCGAGCGGAGCTGAACTGATTTGTCACCGTCTATCATTCATCCGAGGACATGGAAGCCGCTGGACAGAGTCCAAACTCCCTACCCGGCTGCAGCGACACTCGTTCGGTCGCAATTGTGGCTGGGGTCCGTGAAATCCATGGATAATTTGTGGAGCAGGTTGCACAGACTTTACTTCTCACATCGGCTCAGCTTTGCCTTGCTAGCAATATCTGGAATTTGCATTGCGCAAGGATGCGGCTGGCACTTCGAGTCTTCCACAAAGGCCAGCAGTTTCCGCTGTTCAAGGCAGGGCACGGTGGCGGAAGCCCAGTGTGGAGCCAAAGGAACCCAGCACGAAGCATTGAAACATTTGAAGAGCAAGGTCGATGCCGCCAGAGAAAGTCAGGCCATCCGAGTCGACAAAACTGTGGCAACACCCTGCGACCATCGCCTCGTTTTCGCTGAAGAGTAGCACGCTTTAGCTGGTTTGCTTTTTTGTTGCTATGGTGATACTTGCAAACTGGGTTGCTCTGTCCCATGTTCGGTCGTGCAGGCGAAAGCCTTGACCGACGAGGAGCTCATCAAGAATGGCGTCAGTAACGCCACCTCCTTCATGAACCCTGGCTGCTCGTGGCGACGAAAGAGTCCCTTCCCTCAAAAGCCAAGCATGGAAGCTTGCGAATCCGAGGAGTTACTTGACAAAGCTGGGGATCCTTGCCCAAGCCCCGCGGCCATGAATCAGTGGATGCAAGAGATGTGCACCTGGGGCTTTGCAACATGCCTCCGCGTTTTTCAATCCCAGGATGGACAAGACGGCAGCAAACCGGATCACGTCCCCGGAGTCAGCGAAAGATTCTCAGCTTCACTCGGCTGTTGCGATGGTTCCACAGTCATGTCTCTGCATGCATCTATGTAAATAAGTAAATAGTAATAAATATGTCATATTTTATATCTGTGTTTTCTATGCCCTAGAACATGTACGATTTATGCATTGCGCGGCCCATGCCAGTCCTCAGAGAAGAGCATGCCTGTTTTACAAGCAAGCAAGATATATATATATATATATATATATATATATATAACCCACAACAGTGGAACCACAACACGGCGAACCACAGGGGCGGGGTGGGGAAGGATAATCCCCACAGGGAGCCACCGGGCGCCTTCCCTTCCCCTCTCTTCGAACACAAACGAGTATGTTGCGCACAATGATGTTGATGTCCTAATCCCAGTGTGGCTGTTGGTGGCATCTCTGCTCTTATGTTGCTCTGGGCTTCGGCACCGCATGTTCATTGCTTTATCTAGTTGAAAGCCGTGCTTGGCTTGTGATGTTCTTGCTAAAACTGTATCGACCGTTGTCATTCCAAGCCAAGTTTCGATCACCGGAGGAGAGTGCGGATGGGGATCATGACCACCATCTTCGTCATCATCACCATCATATTCAGCACTATCATTGGCTTTGAATTTGGAGCTCAGGGCAGGTCGGAGTTTCAATAGAACTGTATCGCATCCTACGGTCCAAACCCTTAGCAACCGGACGCCCAACCAGCAATAGCCATGGACGGGGGCGCAGCCGACCGCAACCACAGGGGGGAGGGGCAGCGGGGAACCCACACCACAGGGAACCACAGGGGGGGAGGGGGGGATACCATGGGGTGGGGGGGGAGGGGGGGCCTAGCAGCGCTGCACCATATATATATATATATATATATGTGTGTATATATGTATATATATATATATATATATATATAATATTGCGGCCCGAATAATAAGGGTGCCGCCCCCCCACCAAAAGTTTTGGTGCGAATAATCTGGTGTCAGTGACCCTTCGGACCGGGGTCAGGGTCTGGATGACAGGGAATGGGGAGGTGCCGGGGTATGGGGGCTGGCTTGGGTGCAGGGTCTGCGGTTCTCCGCGAATGCGCGGTCGGGGTCTGCAGATCACCACATGCTGGAAACCAAGCCCCGATCACTCCAAGATAACTAACCAAGACTTAGAAACCCTTCATTTTGAACACTTTTGCCTCCAACCTACACTCCCCTCCACAAGCGACCACGTCTGAGGCTTGGTGCGGTACAGCAGTTGTACAGCAGTAGTATGGTAATTGTACAGTGGTAGTACAGTAGTCGTGCCAGTAGTAGTACAGTAGTAGTACCGTAGTAGTACAGTAGTAGTGCAGTAGTAGTACAACAGTAGTACAATAGTAATACAGTAATAGTACAGAAGTAACACAATAGTGGTACAGTAGTACAATAGTAGTACAATAAGTGTCGAGTGGCACCAAAATAAGTGTCAAGTGGCCCCCAAAATATGTGTCGAGTGACTCGAGTGGCACCAAAATAAGTGTCGAGTGGCCCCCAAAATAAGTGTCAAGTGGCCCCCAAAACAAGTGTCGAGTGGCCCCAAAGTAAGTGTCGAGTGGCCCCCAAAATAAGTGTCGTGTGGCCCCCAAAATAAGGAGTGGCCCCCATAAGTGTCGAGTGGCCCCCAAACTAGGTGTCAACCCATTTTACGAAGCTTTTCTCCTGTAAAGAGAGCATGCCAATGACTGTTAGAGGCATCCTCGGACACATATGTAGATCAGCTCTGCTGATTCATGGCATATTTCCTTTTCTCCCTCTGCTGAAGACGATGATGACGATGGTGCTCATGGGATGGATGCCCTGTACGTTCGTCCTGGAAGCGTCTTTTACCGCAGATTGCAGACAAGTTGCAAAACAAAGGCCTCATGGACAGTTGTTGATTGTTGTCAGTGGGTCTCTCGGATGTCAAGATTGCCGCATCATGACATGAAGACCACGGGGTAGGATCCGCTGCGGAGGCACGCTTCACATAGCATTCGGTGAAAGCAAACACATCTCAGGACTTCTGGCGCTTAATCTCAATGCCTTCGGCTCTTGGCAGGCTGCTTGGGGCCTGTGTTACCATCCATCGGATGGGGTAGTAATTAGCTGCAAAAGGTTGGCAATCCTAACCTAGCTGTGCAGCAGCTTATATAACTGCTGGGCCGTTTGGGGTGTGAGACCAGCACGTCCTCTTTCTGCCGCAGGAAAGCGGAAATCAGGAAGATGTCGCACTTTCTCGTTTCATACAGCAATCGGACCCCGCCCGGTTTGTTCTCGGGAGAAGCGTGTCGACTGCACTATTGTAGACAGTTTTCTTCCCTTGTGCAGCTCGAGCGGCTTTTGCTTGACAGGCTCGCGTTGCGGAGTTGTTAGGGTCGTCTTTTTGGCTGCGAGAAAGCTGCGTTTCACATGAAACAAAGCGCATCTTGTAAGGGTTTTTCGATCGTGGGTTGCCTTTACAATCCGCTGGTCTTGACGTGGTACGGGTGGCTGCTTATGTTTTGGACGCCATGGGCCACTGACTACACTCCATGTAGCATCTGCTTTCCTGCCAGCTTTCCTGCCAGCCTTGCAAAGCAGGGCCTGTCAAAGCTTTTCAGCTCAATCTGCAGGTTGGTCCCAAGGAGAGCAGCTGGGATCAGTTCCGCATGAATGGCATCTCCTTTGCTTCGGCAGCGGGCCTTGGCGGGCAGCTCCCTTTCTTGAAGGAGACAGCTACGAAGTCGACGAAGGGTTTAGCAAGGCCTTCGGACGAATGCCTTCAGCAGGCTGTCCACATGCCTAGAAGCCTACCCGTCCCTTGCGTTCGCCATACCTTCCATGAATACTTCTTCCATAAATTCTATATATTTTCCAAACCTCTTGCGTTTGTTCGACCTGACCGGAAGGACATTTTTGCTGAGCGGAAGTTGTCCGCAGATGTCCAGGAGCTCGTGCAGAAGCTCTTTCGCATTGGAACTGGGGTGGTGAGTGGTGGGTTAATGACATCCTTTGAGATATTCAGGTTTTTGGATCATTGCTTCAAGTTTGCATTTTCAGGCTACCGTTGTTCGAGGTGGGATGACCCGAACTTACATCATGTGTTCTCGCAACTTCATGCCGCGGTCTTGTCTATTGGAAGCATCTCAGATTGAAGCTTGAGGTTATAATTAAATTTCTGTGCCCACGAGATACTACGAGGTGTCACTGACATGCGCATCATGATTGTGCAGCTGTTCAGGAAACAGCTTCAGCTCCTCGTCTGTGTGGTCAAGAACCGGACTATCGAGCCTGGTACAGTGACTGGATGTGACTCCCTCGTGGCAGACATGAAGTCTCCCGGCTGCCTACTTCGTCGGTGTCCGAGGAACGAAGAGAGGCGACTGGTGTGTTTGTAGCCAGGTTTTCTCCCCCCAACAATGTGCCCACACACCACAGCTCGAAATCCTGGGTAGGTGCTGAGTAGTCGGGGTGCACCGTCACAGACACCAGGCTGACTGGGGCAGTCAACGCCAGGCTCTTTGTTTAGGTTTCACAGGACCAAGAGTTGTGAGATGTGACCTTTGTACGTGTGAGTATGTGGCACCTCTCCACATGTGTGTTCACCGACTCCTTCATGATACTTCGAAGTTGCCCTAGGACTTTGATCAGCTGCCCGACAGCCACAGACCTCACAGAGCTGACGTCCACAGCGCTCCCTCGTTCAGTTCCGGCATGCAAGAAGGCTCGTATACCTCGAGTTCGTAGGGTGTGGATTTGTTCTCAGTTCCTCAAGTTGCAACAGAGTACCTGGGGAATCAGTGCAGGTCATCACGACTGTGCCCGGCGCTCCAAGCACAAAGCATCTTGGAAGTTACACCAGATCAGGGCTCAAGCGGCTAGCACGGATGGGTAGGGCGTAGGTCTCCACCTTGCAACTGCTTTCAAATTTTGGCCTCGGTTTCAGGTGAGTGCAGTACATAGCTCGTGTAAGAAGCATGATTTCAACCGTTGCAGCCAGTCCGACATAAGTTGGTTTCATGACCAGTATCATTCATGGCAGTTGTGGCATTCTTGAGAATTGTGTGGATGTCGCGACTGAACAAAACACAGGCTCTGAGGCTTTTGAAATATCTGGAGGACGGCCGGACGGCCAAGGCCACGGAGGTGGTATACCAAAGCTATGGTTACGAGCTTCCGCATGTTTAAACACAACAGGTTCGCCATGGACTTGGCAGCCCCGGCCCGACGGCCACGGAGGTAGTTCAAAAACCGACTACTTAGTTTAAGATAGTTTGACATCCGCATGTTGAAAATCGTCGCTGTAGGGTTAGGAGTGGGGGTAGGCTGCATCTTGCGCCGGGGGTTGGAATGCTTCAGTCCAGAAAGACCCGAGAGCAGCAAGAAGCCACCCTGGAGCTAGACCAGACAGTGGCAGAGTGGAAAAACAGGTGTGGCACAGACGTTTTGCTGCAGTTGGTCATGACTCCGGATTTGGCCAACGATCTGGCATACCTTAGCTCGGAAGGCGGGAACACGAAGGTCGGTTTTTGCTTGCAGAGTTCGGTGGTGCTCCAGCAGAAAAATCGGAAACAACATTGTGGCAGCATGGCGCGCTGATAGTAACGAAAGACTGCCTCATTTGTTTCCCCTTCTGTCGCGGTTGGTACTGATAGCTATAGAAGCCACTTTGAGAGCCTAGTTGTGCGTCTTGCTCAGCTGCGCCGGCCCACATGCTGTGATTTCAACATGAATTCCGTTCTCCCGCAACTGGCAAGGGGGCGCTCCAGACTCAGCGCGGGATGAAGGAGAGAGCTTCGTTCGTGGCTACAACGCCCCCTTGACGATATAGAGAGAGCTGATGACCATGGTGAGCGTTGGGAACAGCCTGTTCTTGCACCTTAGTCATGCCCCGGCTTAGCGCAGTACTTGGCAATGTGTATCGCAGATGCCCCGTGCACTAAGGGATTGAAGAACACCCCGAGTGGCCACTTGCCAGCCTTCAAAATGCAAGCCACTGCTGACACTGGGTTGCTTGCGAGTGATGGTAGAAGTGCCCATCTCGACTTCAGACATCTCATGCACATGTACAATGTGTCTGCGCGGATGCATATGTTTTTGACACAGTTCTATGCATAGTCACATCTTCACACATTCCCAAGCAATGCGTTTTCCCAACATGTACGCACTTGAACAGATGGACGGGCAGAAGAGTGGTTCATGCGTTGCTTACGTGCTTGGGTACGTTCTGTATACCTGTACCGGACGAATGCTCTACTGAACTGTGCTGGGCGTCTCCGCAATCTAAGCAACATCGAGAGCGAAATGCAACTGAACTACCGTTCATCTGGAAGGGCGAATTAGACGTGAAGACATGAAGAGGCGGAACTTGTCCTGTGGCACTCAAGGATCCCAGCAATAACTGAGAACGTTTCTTGCAGAAGTTTCTCACAGAGTCACGAGGAATTGGAGCACAAGGTTTGCGAGAGAAAGCTAGTTTCACTATGGGAGGGTTGGGTGAGTTCGATGGACTGAACTTGACTTGCAGACGAAGAGAGAGCCTGCATTTTGCATGCAACAGGCTTGCCACGAAAGATTTCTGCAAAAACGGTAGGCATGTGTGGTGCCGGCCCGGACCCGGTAATGTATCCTCGGACCCCGGGACCGGGTTAAGGGGTGCCTGGATACAGTACGGCTCCCGGTGGTGCCCGGGTATTGTTGTGTATTAGCTCACGAACCATAGTCCATCCTAATATACCATAATCCAAAACATTCATAGCCAACGACTCCTAGCCTGGGCAGGGTTTGCCAGGGGCGGCCCGGACCCGGTAATGTATCCTAGGACCCCGGGACCCGGTTCAGGGGTGCCTGGATACATTGAGGCTCTCGGTGGCTCCCGGGTAATGTCGTGTGTCAGCCCAAAAACCGTAATCTCCACAATCCAAAACATTTATAACCAAAGAATCCTAGCCTGAGCAGGGTTTTCCCGGGGCGGCCCGGACCAGGTTATGTATCCTAGGACCCCGGAACCCGGTTCAGGGGTGCCTGGATACATCTTTTATTGCAGAAGACCACATCATCGTAGAAACCTCCCGACTGGGTATACAGCAATCATTCGATATGGCTAGAGTCTAAAGCGTTGAGACAAGGGAACAAACCGCTCGCAAAAAGCTGGCCAACTTGAGAAACAGGGTCAAAGCTCGTGGAACGGACTAGTGCGATTGAGGAAAAGCAGCAGCATTCGCAGCAAACCAGGCTAGAGCATCTGAGAAATCGGAGCAAACGGCGCGAAATGGACTACAGCACTGGAGAAAAGGAGCACGCTACTAGAAAGGGACTAGAGCATCTTGGAGAATCGAGCAAAACGAAACAGGAGCAAAGCGACCCACGGCGACCAGAAGCGTTCGAAAGCTACGGGCGGCATTGAGAAATTGGAGCAAGCCGGTCGAAAGGGAAAACAGAGCAGTTGAGAAAACAGCAAGCAATTCGACAGACATTAGAGCATTTGAGAAGAGGGAGCAAAACGCTCGAAAGGGGTTGGAGAGTTTAATGTAAGCGACAGCCGTTTGCAAAAATCTTTTGACATCATTTCACACAAGGAGCAAACCGCTCGGCCCAACCACCCGAAAGGGAATTGGAGTTATAACACTTGCAAAGAGGAGCCAGCCGCTCGGAAGGATTTAAGAAAAAGGGAACAACTCGCCCTAAAGGGTTTCAGAGCAATTGCAAAGAAGAACCAGGCGTGTTAAAGGAGAGCGGCTCGACAGGGACTAGAACGTTTGAGAAGCGGACCCAACTGCCAGAAAGGGGTAAAGCACTTAGACAGGCGAGACAAGGAGCAAACCGTTCCAAAGAGACTAAGGGATTCGAGGAACGGGAGGAAACCGCTCGAAAGGAACGAGAGCGTTTGAGACAAGCTTACGAGGACTACGACGTTTCGCGTGAAGGAGACTAGATCACGTGAGAAAAAATCAACCCTGAAATGGACTAGAACCGAACACGTGAGGGACTCGACCTGAGCAAACCGCTCGAAACGGACCGGGCGAGCATTTGAGGAAGAGGGAGCAATCCGCTCGAAAAGGGTTTAACAACAGGAGACACTCGGTCGAACGGCAGTAGAACTTTTGAGAAAAACAGTCGCTCGAAGGGCAGCCAACCAACCGATCGAGCTTCTGGAACAAGGAGCAGACAACCCGAAAGGAACTATAGAGTACTGTACTACAGAGCATGCAAAGGACTGGAACGAGCCGCTCCAAAGAGACTAGAACCTTGAAGAAAAGGAGCTCACCGCCCGAAAGGGACTCGAGCATCTCAGGAACAAACATCAAACCGCTCGGCGCTGAAAGCATATGAGAGCACGGAGCACATCGCTCGAAAGGAACTGAAGCATTTCAGAAAAGTGAAAGAAACAGCTTGAAACGGATTTGTTGAAGCATAGGGCGTTTGAGCAAAGCGAACAGACCGCTCGAAAGGGACTAAAGAATTTGAAGGAAGCAGAGCCTCGAACGGATTAGACAGCAAATGAGAAGACGGAGCCGGCTGCTGGACAGGGACTACGGACAGTTGAGAACATGAAGCATAGCCTTCGAAAGGGACTAGCGAGATTGAGAAACAGCGGCAAAGCTTTCGAAAGCAATTGGCGCATTCCGGAAATATATTGGATGCTAGGGACGAGGACTTTTGAGAAAAACGAACAGACTGCCCGAAAGAGACCACAGCATTTGAGCAGATTCAGCAAACCGCTCGAGACGGACTACAGCATGTGTCTGAGAGGATGAACAAACCGCTCGATAGGGATTCACGCGTTGAAAATCTTACGCACGTACGTACAAACATACATGCAACCTACATCCATTCATGCATACAGAAATACCTACAGGTAGTGCAGAGGAGCAGTCTCGCGACTATCTCGTGTCACATGGTTTTTCCGCATCGACAAGCCTCCACACTCGGGGAACGCCTCATAAACGCTGCGGCGGTTGCAGCACGAGCTCATATCTGTCTGTCTCTATGTAAGGCTTTGTATGGCGTGCTTGCGCCTTCGCACGACCGCGTGCCTATGCACCTGTGTGCATGTGTGCATGTGTGCTTGTATGTGCGTATTGGGTGTGTCCGGATTCGCCAGTACCTGCCGGTGTTTGTGTCGTGAACCTGCTGATAGCTTGTCCAGTCGTGATTTGGCTTGTTGCTAGTTTGAATGGCTGAGTCATGTAATCATATGTATTCGAGAAAAACAACGGCATGGTGTATGCGTGCATGCTTTCTGAATGTGAATGTGCATGTGTGCATCGGTGTTGGCGTGCATCCTTGTGTGTGAAGAAACAGAAGTACCCCCACTCAGCTCTCGGGACTCGCGCAGGCCCAAACAGCAGCCAAGTCTTCACAGCCCCAATATTCCAGGTTTCGGGGAAGATGTGGAAACGTTCAGTCTCAGTCATTTTGCATGCCGAAGACTGGCCAAGCTTAACGCATGCACTTATGCATGTATGTAACCTATCTCCCGAAATAGGTTCACCCCATACACCTCGCCTGCTTTGTCGAGTGCGAGTGCTAAAAAACCATTAGTTGGAACTTCTACTTGCCTTTACAAAGACACTCACACCTTGCTGTAGTCTTTTTGCAGTGCCTTTACAAAGACACTCACACCTTGCTGTAGTCTTTTTGCAGTGCCTTGGTCCAACCAAGTTGGCTCCAAAACTGAGGCGACAACGTTCAGGTTCGGTCCTTGCTCAGGAGAGACCCGTTCGCTTCGGGGAGTGGTCTTCAATTTGTTGCTTGCTCGCAAGAACTTTGGGGTGTGCCGTGCACGTTTCCGTCGAGAAAATTGAGAGCAAAGAGAAGAGAAGGATGCCACAGTGGAGACCAGTCAGGAAACTGATGAGGATTTCACGGACGATATTTTTTTGCATTCCTGTCAGCATTTTTGGCCTCGCTGACGCGCATACACACACACACACAGCAGTCTGAGAATGCCGATGCCTATCTTGTGGCAAGGCTGCACACTCGTCCGTCTTTCGCGACGAAAAGATGATGTCCGCCGTGGCAGGCCTGCTGGTCGTATTACTGATAAGCCGTTGCCACGAAGATTGTCACGGCTGCTAGGTCATGAAAGCGTAAACTCCGACACAGCAACTGTAAGAATCCTTCAACAAGGCTTGGATGTAGAGATACATGGAGCCGGAGAACCGCCACACCTGTGTGAGACTGGAGATATGAACATGTCCCAGGTATTGCGTCGGATATCCGCGACACAGTTCTCGGGCATGGTGACGCATGTTGGACCACAACAAGCACGGCAACCTCGACAACAACCACAACCACCGGCGAGGTTTCTTGACAGCTCTCGACACAGAACACGCTGCTCTTAGCGTCAAGGCTCGCGGCTGTATAATTAGCCCACATGCAGCCCGCATGGTTGCTTGGCTTGTGCCCATTTCAGTGTTCTTGTGAGCAGTACCCATGGCACGCACTAGAGCACGGATCCTCTCCGACCGAGGTGCGGCCTCCCTTCTTTCGAGGAGATGCTCATCCCTTGAGGACTGCCAAGTGTGCAGAAATTGGCTGAGAGGTCCCAGGCGATCCTAGTACGGAAGACGTGGTTAGATCTTTTTGCCTTGCAACATGGTCCCGTCGAGGTTTGCTCTCATCATGCTGCTGGCTGGGCTTTCTGTGGCCAGCTTGTGCTACTACAGGCGGATGTGTGCACTCTTCTTTTGCGGGTTGGCACTTTCGAGGTAGTCCTGTGCATATTGGGTCGGCGAGACTCGGCCCTCATCTCTCACCGTTTACGACAGCATTACTTGTTTACTGTAGGGCTCAGGGCTGCTACCCGCCACTCCCTTGCCTGGCCGAAGTCATGAAAGCGAGAATTGCGTGAGGCTGCAGAGAGCCGCGCCGGCGCGCGATTTGCGAGCCATTGAAATGCAGGGGCATGTTTAGCTCGGTTCCATCTGTTCCAAGAGCCCGGGCCCCATGTAATGTATGTGTCGGAGTCTTCTTAGTTTCGTTGTGTCTTATACGCAGCCATAGTCGGAGGCCAAGGTGCATGGTCGTCATGTTCCTCCGGTGCTTCAACCGATTGGGGCATTGAAAGGGCGAAGCCCAAGAGTTGCTAACTGGGTTCCTATGCCATGCATCATCGCGGCATGACCGCTCGAAGTTTGGCTGCCGATCTCCCTTGACAGTGCTCTGAGCCTGCATTCTGCTGCTACCCTAGACGCATACAGTACAGCCAAACTTCTGTTACCGGGTCTGGTGCGTACGGTCCCCGCCGACTATATGCTGGTCAGCGAGACCCCTTGCACGCTTCTTTTGAGCGTTGCTAAACTTCCGTCGTTTACTGTGCGCAGCATACAAAATTGCAAAGTATACTAGGCGTGCATCAACACCCAAGACAACAAAGCACCTGTTACATGTCACATATGCGTGCATACAAAGACCCACACATGGCTGGCAGCTACAAGTTGTCGATTGGTCTTTACCTTAAGGTACGATGGTGTGTGTGTGTGTGTGTGTGTGTTTGTATGTTATGTATGCGTTTATGTATGATGTATATTTTTTTGAACCTATCTATCTACCTGTATACATATATGTGCATGTATGTATGTATGTATGTATGTATCCATGTATGTATGTCGGTATGTACATATGTAATCAAACAGGTAGATAAGTGTAAATATATCTACATACATGTGTATATATATATATATATATATATACATATGTATATATATATATATATATATATATATATATATATATATATTTATTATCCATATATACCCGAATGAAACCATATCTGTGCAGGTATACATACGCCTACATTTGTCAATTCTATATGTTCCGCTGGCGAAGAACTGCGGGAATGAGTCTGGCCACTTGTGTTGGTCATATTTCCACTGCCAGCATGGTGGTAAAGAAGCATGGGTGTCCGGTACTAGTAACGTCTGGTTACTGGTTCTTCAAGTTGCGGTATGGCATCGTCGTCATGTGGAACATGGTCGTAGGCTGTACAGAAGGGTCCTGCGCAGCCTTGGTCACGTGTTAATTCTAAGTAAGAGTGAAGCAGAACAGTGCAGCAAGCCTTCTAAGCTCAGCCATGTTTCGAAGCGTGTTCGAGCAATGATCGCCGAGAAGCTACAACTCACGCAAAAAGGAGCGCCTGAGCGTGCTGTTCATGTAGGGCGGACGGGCTCTGACGTCATACATTTTCTGTCGTCTGTCGTGGCGTGTGTTTGTTTGCGCTTAAATCAGTCACAGCCACCTTGTCTGTACAGCATGAGAGTTGATGCCACCGATTCCGCTGTCTTATGACTCAAGGAATTCCTTTGGCCAAGTTTTCCATTTGGAGTAGATGCTACGTGCACATGCCGTGAAGGCGAAGCGACGACGCAGCGGGAAAAGTTCGATCGCCGGACGTGTGCTGCTGTGGGCTGGGCACTATCACTTGTGCCTTGGATTGCTACCAGAATTGGTAGCGGAGCAGCGTCCAGTGCAGGGACGTTGCTCCAGGGACCGCGCGCTACCACTGCCCTCTGCACACCCCTTCTTCGAAGTGATCGGCGGCGAAGGGACTGAGGTTTCTTCGTCCAGGAGCTGCACTACATTGGACATGATGCAGTCCCAGGTGCCTGGCTGGGACGGGAATGCCAGCACATGGCAAGACTATGTCCGAAGAGTGAAGCTTGAATGGATGAAGACACCGGAGAAGAAGAGGGCTCTACTGGGAGCCTCTCTAGCATCGAGATTGACGGGACGTGCCTGGGAAGTTTCGATTGAGCTCGATGCGAGCAAGCTTCAGGGGCGCAACGGCGCCGCATATCTTCTCGACTACCTCGAAGTCAAGCTCGGCCGCACTCCTGTGCCAGATCTCGGCAGCAGGCTAGAGGACCTTTTCATTAGGACCAAGCGCACACAAGGGCAGAGCATGGTTCAGTGGAGTGTGGAGCTGAGGGATGCGTACAAGAGTGCTTTGGCCAGAGCCAGGGCTGGAAGGACTCCCCCTTCGAAGAGCTCTTTGACGGCTTCCCCTACAGCGAGAAAGAAGGCTGCTTCGTCTGGATCAGGATCCAGACTGGGAACTCCGTCGGCGAGGCGGAGGAGCTCCACAACGGCAGAGCCTGAGCCTGCCTTCGACATTCCTGGAGACGACGATGAGCCTCCTGATGAGTCAGTTCCTCAGGAGGACGAGGAGGTTGTTCCACCTGTGGCTGATGAGAGAGCCACTGGGGCTCACAGTCGTCGGGGAAACGAAGCCTGGTCAGCAGAGGAATGGGAGGCTTGGTATCGCGGCTGGTGGCGGGAGGACGAAAGTCCTTCCTGGCGCCGACGCCGTGGACGTGACGATTCTGATGAAGATCAAGAACCTCCCTTGCCAGATCCGGAATGGGACAAGTACGAGCTGAAGGAGCTGGAGGTCCTGCCGCCGGAGATCTTGGGCTGGATGCTGCTGAGGCGCTCAGGACTGCCTGGGAGCGCGAGATTGGCTGTCTTGGCGGCTACGAATAATTCGTTGGACTTCGACGTGATTGAAAAGGCCATGAGGGACCAGGAAGAAGAACTCTTGTCAGCGGAGAGACAGAGAGACCACAGGGACTCTCGAGGTCGCCGATCCTACTGGGTTGAAGATGCTGGCGAGTGGGGCCTGATGATGGCTCCAGCGGGACCGGACGAGGACGATGCCAGTGATGATATTCACTGGGTGGGCAGCCGACTTCCTGCCGATGTCTACTCGGTCGATGAGCCCGAGGAGCTGATCATGGAGGCTCCCGATGGTTCCGAAACCTATTGGACGTGGCATGAGGGAGAGTACCACACTCAAGATGATCAAGGGGTGTGGTGGTCCTGGTCGGACACAAAGCCGTGGATGGAGATTGAGGAGTGCTTTGCCTTGGATCCCGAGGGCGCCAAGGAAATCTCCGACCTCTATGCCGCCTACCAGAGCAAGATCCGGAACTTCAAGGAGTCAAGGCAGCTGGTGGCATCGAGAAATGCCGCCCGCGGTTTCTTCCCCATCTCCAAGGGAACCAAGGGCAAGTCAAAAGGAAAAGGAAAAGGAAAAGGCAAGAGCAAGACCAGCCAGGTTCTCGCTGCCACCGGTGAAGGGAAGGGCAGGTCTACATCATCGTCTTCGGGACCCCAGAAGCCAGGCAGCCCAGTGTATACGGGATGTTTCATCTGTGGCGAGAAATCACATGACTACAGGTCCTGCCCCAAGCGAGGCGGGTCGCCATCAGGCCCGCATGGAAAGGGGTCTGGCGCATCCTACATGGTGACCTCGGAGACCGTGGACGAGGAGGAGCTGATTCCAGCGAGCTCCAGCGCGAGCAGTCAGCTCCTGTGCTACACCGAGGTTCGTCACTTTGATGAGGCAAAGCCGATTGATGATGTGTTGGAGCTGGACGCCGCTTTGACCACAGCAGGGCAGCTCTACGCCGGCTTTGGAATCGTGGACAGTGGAGCCACGGAGACTGTTGGATCATTGGAAGCGATTGAGGCTGTTATGGCAAAGCGGCGGCAAGTGTTTGGTCTTGAAACAGTCGCCGTGTTTCCCAATTACACGAGATCCTTCAGGTTTGGAAACGGACAGAAGAAGGAAGCAGCCTCCTACCTTCACCTTCCTCAGGTCTTGAACAAGGAGAAAGTGACTCTCGGTGTATTCTCCCTGGACGTTCCCCAGGTTCCGATTCTGCTTGGTGTGAAGACGCTGAAGCGCCTAGGTGCCGTCATTGATTTTTCCACTCCTTCCATTTGCTTCAAGCGCATTTCTTCGCAAGTCATCATTCCCCTTGTAGAGAGCAGATCAGGGCATCTGATGATTGACTTGACGAAAGACTGGATGTCAGGTGCCACTGTGTTTGAGGCGCAGTATCCAGGACGTGGACCGAGCATCATTCGCCAGCTTGCGTCCCGATATAAGGAGGGTTCCGATGCGCAGAATTCTTCATGTGAAGCTGATCTGCAACTTCATGTACATGATTCCCCGCCAGCTCAACATGATCCTCCTAATGTACACCATGACCCCGAACATGATGAACCAGTTGCTCACGAGGAAGTTCATGTACATGAGGGTTTCGGTGTGCATGCTGAGTGCGATGATCTGCCTGGTAGTCCTGAGAGATTCAACAGTCATGTGAGAGCTGAGTCGCAAGCTGAGTGCAAAGGCAGTTCGTGTGGAAGTGACAGCATGCAACAGATGGGCTCGACTACGAGCCGCAAGCTAGTGACTTTCGCGGCCGGTGTGACGTATCATGGCGAACAGTTACCCGGCCTCGAGCGATCCCAAGAAGCCTCAGGCGCCATCTTTACAGGCGACAGGGGCGGAATCCCAACCTTCGGATCCTGGCCAGAGCTCAGCCGGGAGTGTGAAGGAGAAAAAGAAGAAAGGGAAGAATCCCCTTCCCCTGGAGGAGCGCTACGACTTCTCCAGAGCCGTGGGTCCAGATCCGCGGGATGGTCGCACGAGCGGCTACCCATGCTTCGGTCGTCACACGGAGGAGCCGATGTACCGGGGGAGTCCATCGGGATGCAATGCTTCGGGACTCTGGAAAGTGTGCAGCCGATGCA